TGTGAATACTTTTGCAAGCCAGTGCGTTACTGCATATTGACTAAAGATGAAAATGAAGACCAAGAACAAAAACCCAAACCTAATCTTACGGCATTCAACTTTTCACATACACCATCCCTTTCTCTTTAGAGACAGCCTTTAGAATTAATCGCACAATTATGTGTAAGGCAGGGAAGCTAAGTAACACGGGAAAGAATGTAAATATAATTCTGTGGCAGTGAAAGATACAAAGTGGTCTAATTAAATCCCTTTCGATGTGAATTTAATTTCCCCAGGCCTCATGGCATCCTGTCAGTGACAGGAGAGCCTCCTCTCTTTGTCTCCTTCTCAGCAAATTGCAATTAGGGAGTGGGTGTATCTTGGCATGCTAGTCAATCACAGTTAAAGCTTGCATTTAAGAGATGAAAGTGGCAGTATATTGACTTCAGTCCTTCCAATGGACTGTGCATTGAAAGCAATGGACAGTTAACAGTGATATCGATTCTTGCTTTATATGCTTGTTTTGTGTTTAGAAACTGGCCATGGAGTTTCTTAAATATTGATATACTCCACAAGCTCTTTGCGCTTGAGCAAAATCTCCGGTCAGTCAATCTGTTGCCATGGTTTTTGTGTCATTTGACAACACAAAGACTGTTCCTTTTTCTATCACTGATCATTGTGCTATGAGAAACTGCTAACTAGGCGCTTTCAGGCTTTCATCTAGTTTATTAAGCAGCCTCAAGATTAAATGGGAAATGGGAGCAGCAGCAAAAGTAAATTCTCCTGTGGAAAAGGAGCAAAAACACCAACAAGCTTCTCATGTGGAACCCTGAAAATAAGTTAGACAACCACAAATTCTTTAACAAACCACTTACAGGGTTCCTACACATCTTTTATGCAGACTTTTTACACTTTTCCCAAACAAAAAACAAACAAAAAAAATCATAAATCATATTTGGTCATTTTGTACAGGAGTGTTTAACTGCCGGAGGTAGGAAATGAATGCAGGAGCAGAATCTCGTTAAAACGTCAAACTTTGGTGAGCTATAAAACTTTCAGAAAGGAAAAAAGTTCCTCTTGTTAAGATTTATATTCAAAATAAACACATAATACCCAAATATATTCTTGTTTAATTAAAAAGATCATAACAGTAAGACGGCGACGACTCCTGGAATTGTCTGAGTTTCAAAACTTTGAAATTTATGACTTTTGAAACTCCAAGTTTTTTCTACCAAATTTGCGACTTTTTAAACTCAGAAATTTCCTTTCAATGAGTCAATGAGTTGAGTCCTCATTTTGTTCCATCTATAATGGCCCTAATACACGTTTGTACTGGACTGTAGTTTTAAACAATTGGATCTGATTTTACCCAATCGCTAACATTTGGCA